CTAAACTTTCTTAAATATATTGCGGTGCAACGGATTACATTTAAAGCTTGGCTTAAAAATTAAGGGACGCTTAGTTAAGCAAAGCTTAACTCAAAAACGGTGCAAACGGGCATGAGTAAGACAAATCCGGTCGTGTGGTCACTGCAATGTACATCAGACTACATATCAGTCGTCTATACGGAATTTCTGTGTCTACTAATTTGCCATCGTTTGTAAACTTTTCTTCCATAGGTGTGGAAACCTTTCTACATTGTTCCATGTTAAACTCTCTCAAAATTCTTGCAATTATCTTCTGTTGATTTACTCTAAGTCCGTTTTCTGTTTTGGTAATTTTCATTCCCAAAAGTGATAGTTCATCTTGAAATACTTTAACTTTTAATTCCCTTTTTAAATCTACTATTAATTCTTCCATTTCCACATCTTCTCCCGTGATCAATACGTCGTCTACAAAAAGTACAAGATATACGCCCTTTTTGCAATATAAGCAAAAATCATATTTTGATCGATAAAATCCAAGTTTTTCCATCCCGTCGGTAAACTTATTATTCCAAGCCTTTGGTGCGCCTTGCAATCCATATAGAGCTCTATTCCGTTGGATGCCGTTGGAACGTCAATCTGTTTCAGAATCCAGTCGTCTTGTACTGCCATTGATAAAAGAATTCTCACCGTTGTCATCCTGCACAGGTGCATAACTAAAGTCTAAACCTTTCATGAATTTTTCTTGAAACGCTTTCGCGACTAACCTCGCTTTCTTCGTTCCATCTTGTCTCGATTGCTTTTTGTCCTTTTTGTAATTCTACTTCTGTTCATGTTGCCAATTTTTGGTGTGATTCCAGTTCCTTTTTTATTGCCTCTTTCCATTCTGGAGAACTTATTGCTTCCTTGTAACTCTTTGGTCTTTCAGTCTGTGTTAATAAACAATAAGCTGTGTACATGTCATAATCTCGTAAGTTACTAGGTTTCTTTAGTTTTTTTCCAAAGTTTGACGTTCTTTGTTCCATTTCCTCTTCACTTTCCTCCTCTGTACCTCTCGATTCATTTTCTTCCTCTGCTTCCCCACCTCCTTTTCTTCTTCTTCTTTAGACATTGGTATTAATACAGTTGTTGGAGTAACTTCCTCTATGTTGCTGTTCTTTTTAACTTTGTAAGGCATGATGTCTTCCACAAACCGTGCATCCCTTGATTTAACAATCCTTCCTTCTTCTGGTAACCATATCCGCTATCCTCCACCACAATAACCTATCATCACTGCTTCGTTTGCCCTTGGACTAAGTTAGTCTCCTTTTGGTAAAATTGTTACCCATATTTGGCATTCAAAAACTTTAATTTTAGAAGTGTCGTTTCTACCGTGCCAAATCATTGCCGGAGTTTATCTTCTAAATATTTACCTTTGCACCTCCTCGACTTAGGAGTGTCAAATTCAGAAGACATACAGGGAATGGATGTACCGGATGGAGGATTGGCAGGAGAATCGGGATTGTGTTCTAAGTTTACAGCACGTCGAGGTATTTGTTGTGCACACAACTTTTTTCGCGATGATGTATGGAATTGGTTGGTCCTGAAGTGCCGCTCACACACACGAAGCCTTCTCCCATGTAATTGACCGTACGTACAGTCCATAAGATCAGGCCTCTCCATACTTTCCAACTCCATACTTTGTCTTTTGCTGTAATGACATTTTCATCCCGCCTTTGAAGACTTTTATTCAAGTTATTTAAATGCTGCTAAATAAGTCGGAAAGAAAAGCCAATTTCAAAAGGAATTTCGGGTCAGAAATGAATTCAGAGTAATGTGACTTGACTTGTTGTAAATATACTAATAGTTCAAGCGCGAAGTTCCATAACTCTGACCTAACCTCTATATGGTAAATCAAATTGCGGTGTAGTGTCCCCATATCTTCACAAATGATTCGAAACAATCGAGTCTGCAACGCCTTTGCTTTAATAGAATTTACAATGTTAATAATAATATTTAGAACTTTACTGTATTCTTGTGGCAAGGTTTTGGCTGCAAGAGGTTGGCGATGGAGAAAGCAATGCATCCAACAATCGTTTAGCATCTGTTCTTTCAGTGTAGCAATAAATCCACTCTTCGCACCAGTCATGGCTTTTGCTCCGTCATTACAAATAACAATGCATTTTTGTGCCCAGTCGATATTCATATCTTGCGTAGCTTCAAAGATCATGTCATGCAAGCACTGACCTGTAGCATTTTTGGGAAGTGCCTTGCAAAATAGTATTTCTTCCATTAATATTTCATTGGATTCAAAACGCACAAAAGCTACAAACTGCGCACAACCCGCAATATCCGTTGATTCATCAAATTGCAAGGACACAAAAGAACTTTTCTTTATTTTTTCTATGACTTGATCACGAACGTCAGTCGCCATATTGCTTATCCTGTGTTGAATGGTATTGTCAGAGAGAGGTATACTTTTGAGCTTTATTATCTCTGCTATATCTAAAACCTGCTATATATAAAATCAAATTTTCGGAAATACTATGAGGTTTTCCTGCTTTAGCCACACGAAAAGCTACTCGATAACTAGCGAGCAACGCTTTCTCATTTAGGTTGAACATTTGTCCTATAGCAGTTTTTTGATGTTCAAGAGCTTTTAGATTTCGCTCAAAAAATTCCACGAGTTTATTTTTTTCATTAGGATGTTTTGTGTTTAGGTGGCGTACCAACTTCGATGGTTTCATGCTTTCTCTTGACAAAATTTCAAAGCAAATTATGCACTGCGGTTTATTCTCAATCACAGTAAACCTAAATTTCAAATAATTGTCATAAAGACGTTTTTTCTTTATTCCACTACTCCCGCTAGACGTTAATGATCTTTTTAGGAATGTATCCATTTTCAATTATAACAAACAACTTTTAAATATGTACTAGTTCCGAGTGTTACCAACAGATGGCGCTGGGAGTTTCGGTCCTAACAATATGTTTGTATTTATTTGTTAGTTATCAATTGGCCACGTATTCGATTTAAAATTATATGTTTTACGTACTTAATTATATATTTATATCCGAATTTATTTTATTTATATCCTAATAACGCAAACGCCTAAATTTTTTGTATGGATTAAACATTTTTAACATACATGAAAAAAGGGTCGGGGGGTCGCGAAATATTTTTTGATACTAGGGGGGTCGTGTCATGAAAAAGGTTGAAAAACACTTGTGCATTTGCTAGGATAATCTTAAGGCTCCCCCAAACCAACGCGAAATATTCGTACGAGCAGCGAAGTTTTCGTTGCGATATTGTCGCCGGCTAGACCGTACACGGCGATAAATGCAAGGTCCCACATTGACGCGAATGTTTGGCGTCTTCAATAGTACGTGTCTGCGAAACTGCAGCGATTTTATTTCTAGTCATTGCGTGCACGATTTTTGTCACTATTAGCGGTGTTTTTCGAATGTATGTTCTTTAAGAAATAGTTAATTTAAAAATTAATATGTCACAATATACAGAAAAACTAATAGAGTTAGTTAAAACATACCCCATTTTATATAACCTATCACACGAAGATTACAAAAATAATAGAAAAAAAGATAAGGTTTGGGATCAAATTGGCCTTAAATTAAACAAAGACGGTAAGTGTAGTTTCCTTTATTTCGATTATGGGTTACAATAAGCAACAAACTTCTCTCGGACATTAAAGGCAATGTTTGTTGCCCGTCTTGAATCATTTAACATAGCAGTAAAAACATTTTTGTGGTTGGTTTGGTTTACTTCTTTTGCCAAAACATTGGAAGGATTATCGCATTGTGTCACTCGTAGGAAATTATGCAGAACGCATGCTGTTTTGATAATAAGTATTGTTGTTTCAACTAGTTGTAATTGGTTTCAAAAATATCCTCCATTTCTGGGATAGTATCCCAAAAGCATTTTCTACAACCCTTCGTGCTCTACATAACCGAACGTTGTAATTTTCCTTACGAGGACAAAGTTTTGATTGCCGATATGGAAAAGGTCTCATAAGATAAGGTTTAAGGGCAAACGCTTCATCTCCAATCAAAACATGAGAACAAGGTTCATTTTGCCCTGGTAATGGTGTATGATACGGAACATTAATAAGATTTGCTTCAAACCTTTGACCTATGTTAGAGGCCTCAAAAATTCCGCCATCACTATTTTTTCCAAAACCACCGATGTCTACACAGATAAATTTGTAGTATGGATCGACAATAGCCATTAATACTATTGAAAATTTGTTCAAATAACAAAAATAATTTGAACCTGTTCTATTGGGGCATTTAATTGTAACATGTTTTCCATCAATAGCACCTATGCAATTTGGAAATTGCCACTTTTCTCTAAACCCTTTCGCAGATTGTTCCCAAATTTCAGTTGTAGGTTCTGGTAGATAAATACCTTCCATTTGACTACAGATAGCTTGGCATACTTCTGTTACAATTTGACTCACCGTCTGAAATCCTACTCTGAAAGTATGTCCAATTGTTGAGAAACTATTTCCAGGGGCAAGAAATCTAAAAATAATATGTAAATATCATTCACATTTTGGATAAAACCCTTTAAATTAGTCGTATTAGTATTGTTTATATTTTTGATTAAGACCTTCAATATTAATATTAAATCATCTTCAGGTAGTGATGTAAAAAAGAAATGGAAAAATCTAAGAGACACATATATGCGGTACTTAAAAAATAATAAACCGAAAACAGGTCAAGAGGCAAGCACAGGCAAACACTGGCAGTGGTCCAATTTCATGGAGTTTTTTCGTCCTTTTTTGGCATTTGCTAAGACTTCATCGAATGTTAAACAAATTTCAGACACCGATCATCCACAAATCGAGGCTGAATTTGAAGTTGCTAATGATGACTCGAATTTAGATGAAATAATCAGCGAATCAGAAGAAACAATGGCACAAGATATAACCAA